CTATAAAGACAATAAATAAGTTAATAAAAAAGACATTTCAGCTGGGTCAATGTCTTCCTGTTTATTTCTATCTCTACTGCAGTGAAAGGTCTGTTGCATCCCTTAGCAGAGTATAGTGAAGCAGACTTCAAAGGGTACTAACTCATCCTGGCTTTCCTTTCAAATATTAGAAATGAAAGTGCATGATATGACAGCACATAAAGAAATCATAATCGGTACAAAAGCATGGACTTACTGTCAACCACAAGTTCCTAAAGTGAAGTTTTTTTAAGCTTGGAGTTTGCTTCTCGCTTTCATCCTGTAAAATTGGTTAATTCTAATTTATGGAACATTTTGAAAGAAACAAAACTAAGTGACATAATTATCTTGGTAAAGTAATTCTAAAATAAGACATTTATGTATCTTTTGTCTGTGCTTTGTAACTTCAAAGAAACCATTATGTGACGTATTTCTGCTCCTTCCCAAGATGAATATAGCCGGTTGGTAGTCTCAGCTGTTGTGTCTCTCCAGTAATGTGTTAGGTCTTGAAATGAATATTAAAGAGTGCACATTTTAAGGAAGGGGAATAAAAGTATCAAATTAAGTTTGAGAAAGTACCCAAAAACAAATTGCAGTAATGCACTACCCCAACACTATAAGACACACACACACACACACACTCACAAGGACACTGAGATTACAAATCCTCGCCTTGGGCTTTGTTTCTCATATCACACTATCATCAGTCAGCTGCTGTTGCATAACCGCCCTGTATGTGTGCACACAAAACAACAAACTCACACAAACAAAAAAACTCTATTTATAATATTGTATTGAATATGTCGAACTCAAAATGAGCCCATTTGACAAATCAGAAGGTTATTTTCCTGTGAGCTTGCTCGCTGTTCCGAGGGACTGAAGCTCTGATATGTGCATTCATTCTGCTGTTCCATCATATACAGCGATTCTCTAAAAAAACAGCTCTTTCAGTGTGTTTTCAATTTAAAACAATGGCTCCATAATAACATTTGTGGGCTAATGGGAGCTAATAATTGCAACATCCCTTTGTGTGTGGGCAAAATCACTAAGAGCACGCAAAGCTGTTTCATTGCCTCAGTTTTGACTAATTAAAAAATGGGACAAGAGTCTTTCAGGCTGCTCTTTTTCTTCTTTTTCCTTCGGTTTGTTCACAGTTTGTCCAATAAGCCACGACAGCCTATTATGTCTCCTATTTTGTAGCTGTTAATATTCATTTAAATTTGTTGACAGCCAGAAAGCAGCGCCAGACAGAAAAGTGCCTACAAATTATTATCGGTAAAATCACTCACTGATAATTCATGTGGGATTTGTATTCTTAAAGTGCTGTGTAGCTACATTCTTGAGTTTACAGTCAAATTTTCTCCAAATTTAATGGGCAAGTCAGGACAGGCTGGCTGCTGGATCCAGCTGGCTTGTTTTATACAGACCCCAGTCAGGCTAATCACCCACCTCCTAAATTCATTCGTACAGTTAGGAATCCACACTGACAGCAGCGGCTAACCTTCCTGCGTAGACTACCTATAAAGCTGCTCCAATATATTCCCACAGGAAGGCTTCCCACTCTATAATTTGTTGACTGCTGCAGAGGGTCTAAAGAGCAGCAATACTCTTTAATGCACTTATAAACACAAGCACACATAAACACACACACACGCATACACACTATAGCCTTGAGAAAGAGTTGAGAGCGGTACTCTGGGAGGAATAATTATAGATGGCATTGAATTTCTTGCTCTCCACCGTGTGCAAACAGTGTTTAGCCAAGAGGGTTTGCTTACTTCACATGTTTACACCATGGCACCACTTGGCAGCAAGGTCGCACTATTGTAGTGTTTCTGAATGTCTGTCTGCAGTTGAGGCTCGACAAGCAGGGGAGCTGTGTCACCAGTTTCATGCAGAAATGGCCTTATTTTATTTTTCTCAGAAGTAGCCAGAAATAGAAGCTGCTGCACCAGGATGTTTCAGCTTTCTGATAGCAGAGCTTATTAATACTTTCAGTATTCAGGCTGGTTGTAGGCGAGGATGTGCTGTTTGTATGCATGAGTGACTGACTGATTGCCTTCAGATATGTGCATTGTCTCTATATGTATATGCATAAAGGCATGAACTACTGCTGTCCCCATACCTGGAGCTGTTGTATTCGTCACAGAGAGTAGATGGCAATTGAATATACTTACCTGAGCTGACTGTGAAACCTCATTACCAGCTCCTTTGCGGAGAGAGTCCAGCAACCCTCAAGGAGAGGGGGCAGGAAGAGGAGAAAAGAGCAAGAGAGAGTTCAGACCTTTATTCAATAGAGTAAGGGGTGAAGTGAGGAAAAAAGAAGAAGAATGGACAGCAAAAGCTCACCTGTAGAGATGCAGCTGGGTGAGAAATTAAACAACCAATATGAAGTGTCCCAGTAAGGTGTTGCTGCACCACGAGCCACCAGCACAGCGTCAGTGTTACTTGGCATTGATTCTGCATGTCCCTGAACTCTGCTGGAGGTTTAAGCACCATTGTTTGAAAAGACATTTTGCTGGTGGAGAGCCGGTGACTGCATAGCCCATAGCATATGATTTTGGCTAATTTTGATTGATTTTGATTGATTAAAATAAATACACAGATGAGCTTATATTACTCAAATTCATCAGGATATCCAATAAAGTTCACATGACTTATTTCCATTGTAGTCCCCAAGTCAATGCTGGGAGGCAGGCAGGAAAAGGTAGTGACACATTTATGCTAATAATATCCCTTTTGTTTTTTTTACACTAAACCACCTAATAAAAACATTTAAATTTATAAAAAGTCATGAAAATAATAATAAAAAAGGTTCTGACACTCGTCCTTAAAAGATGTTTCACTGTGCTCACTTACTCAGCATCCATTTTTCAATTCAATTCAATGACCTTTGTGCCTTGTATGTTTGCTTCTTTGCTTCTTCATCTATTATGTATCCAGGTATTTAGGTTTTCTTTTGATTTGTCTATAGGATGAATACATATATAGAGAAAATAAAGAACAGAGAAAGCAAAGGCTAATGGAAAGGGAAAGAGAAGCAAACAAAGTTGTGCAGGTTTATGATGAGAGGAGAAAGACTGAGTTTACCTAGTTTAATTGAAGCTAGCTCAGTGCCTCTTGTTATTCTGGCATTGTACATTCCTTCACTGTACACTGTGTAGAGCAAGAGATTGACAGAGTGGGGGAGGGAGACAGACAGAGTGAGGGAGAGAGGGAGGAGATGCAGACATTGCTGCGAGGAGAGGAAGACAATATGATGTGACACGGTGGGAAATGGGGAGGAGGGTAAAGCTATCTTGTAGGTGTTATCAGGTTAAGCCACCCACTACTGGCTGTCGCCATGGTGACGACCAGGTGTTCAAACAGGAAGGAGCGTGACCTTGCTTATGTTAAGGGGCTTCTTCTGTGTGTTTCTTCCTCATTATTTCATGCGTCTCATACAGAATGTATGTATATAGAAATGTCACAACTTGCATTTCCCAACATTATGCAAATTCCTGCTTTATGATCTGTATCTCATCTGTATAGCAGGAATGAGCAGTTGTTGTGTGTTGTGTGTTGCTGATATTTATTATTAATTCCAGTTTGTGGTTTGTCAGTGTCTCTGACTGGCTGCATGTATTTGCACGCTGTATGTTTTTATGGCCCGGAGTATTCTGCATGTACATAAAATAACAACTATGTACAGTACATCTGATCTTTTAGAAGCAGCTTTACCCATGTGTATATGAACTATATGTTTATGGGGTCAATGATGAGGTATGTGTTGTTTTGTATGTGTGTGTGTGTGTGTGTGTATGTCTCTGTATGGCTTTTCCATTCTTAAACCTATAAGCTGATTTGATAACGTGCTTACAGAGATCTCTGTTTCAATCCGTTGGTGTTAGCTCTGTTACATCACTGCTGTCGGCTCTGTGTGTGAGTATGTGTGTGTATACATACACCCGTGCGTGTGTGTGTCTGTGTGTGTTGCTTTAGCAGTGTGGTTTCGGTGGGGCTGGCTGTGTGTGATGTAGAGGCCTAACAGACGCTCGGCACATGGAAACACACTAGGGACAATGACACGCACGTGCTTGCGCCATGCGTGCACTGCAGGCAAGACACACAAACACAGTAAGCAAAGGCAAACACACACACACACGACAGACCTTTGCTCTGGCCCTTAAAGGCATACTGTGCCACAATTAAACACACATCATGCCAGTTAAGAGATAACCTCTGATCTGCATCCTAGAGCCAGGCAATTGATGTACAAATTAGTGGTTCTAAATGCAAAACACCCGTACTGTGTTCATTTCATCTCTGTATTTGGGTGATTTAAGGTGAGAGATGCACAAAGAGATGTGGTGATTAGTAACACACATCTTTGCCACTCCTCCTTTGTGTGATTATTTCCATACCAGTCAAACGTAAACAACGAATTTGCCTCTCTGTCTTCATTATTTGTTGGCCTGTTTAAAATGACAGTGGCATGTTAGACTAAGAGCACAGCACATTGAGTAAAGATGGGGACACACATTCTGATTGTTAGGCTGATTTTTGTTAGGATTTGGACGTCACAAGTTATTTGGACAGAGTCAGATGGCGTTCTCACACAGCGCATGGTGTTTGACCTTTGATCTAGTTGTTGCTGACTAGATCAAAAGATCATTCACAGTATTTTAAAAATGTTTAATTTGTACAGTGGGAGTCAGGACCGTTGACAATATGTAGTGGAAGTAAAGTAAGTGCCAAAAAAAACTGCGAGGAATCAGTAAAATAGTGTGCTGTGAGTGAGAATAATCCAGTTCAGCAGGTTTCAGTACGCAGCCACAGCTAAGCTGAAATTCACTCACCTCCAGCTCTCACTGAAGAGTTTACAGTCGCCCTCGTCTCACCATCGCCCATCTTATTTAAACATTTTACGTTTTCTGTGTAAAAATGCAGCATAAATTAACCAGGCAACCAGTTTCAGATGGATGTGGTTTTCTGCTTTGGTACAGGAATGTGCAAAGGTTTGTGCATTATCAGGATTTTAGGGGATTTTGACTCTCACAATAGCCTACCAGGTTATTGTTGTCTCTATTTTCATGTCATTCAATATGTGTACACTTCTGACTGTCAATGCAAAAGAAATGTTGTTGAAAATACTCATTATGTGTGGGGTATCTCATGTTTGTACGTTTCAGTCACTTAATGAGGTCTGTTGCAACCTTAAAAATCATAAAGTAGACCCCATAATGACAGTTCCCCACCTGCTCCAGAGGCGCTGTTCAGTGGCTGACTCTGACCTCTGACCTCTGACCTTTGTGTGAAGGGGATGGAGGCATACAGTCTCACACTATTAGTCATTTATTATTATACTTGGCTGTCACCACTGACTGCTGGGATAAGCTATTCGGGGCAGGTTGCACATTTTAACAGCCTTTAATATTCCAACACCAGCTAATTGTTTTACACTGCGAGAGCCAAGTTCGGTTGGGCTGAAATTACAAACATGCTCATAGTCTCATTCATAAATAATAACATTATGCCTGCAAGCCAAAGGGGTTTAATAGTGCACCTTTAAAATGCAATACATATAAAATAGCAATATGATTTTAATTGGAAAATGCAGTTTTGCAGCCATCTAAGTATAAATGGAGAAAACCGAGTTGTTGACAAAATGTGCATACATAGTGCCTCTAATTTGCAGTTCAATGAGCACATTTTATAGCAGTGTCTTGGTAGGATATCATATAATAACATCTGGCTTTTTGAGTGGTAAAGATAAGAAAGTGACAAACTGCCAGTATTGGGAACCAAAGTACAAAAAAACACAGAGTTAGAGGGATGAGAGAAAAGTGAGGAGGAAGTTGGAGAGACAGATGGGAGTTGATCCTGCGGAAGGACGCTCCTCAGGGTGCTCATATCCCTCTCCTGTTTCCTATTAAATTACTTAACTTGAACCTGTGTGCTTCCTGGTCTGACTGTGTTTAAGCTGACATATGGGGCAGTTTGTGTTATGTTCCATCTGATGTGTCCAATAATGTTTCTCATTTACCGTTCTAAAGTACCCGTCTTGTTTTTATCTGTGTTGCAGATAAACCTGCGGCTTATTTTAGTCAGCGGGAAGACGAAAGAATTCCTCTTCTCTCCCAACGACTCGGCAGCAGACATTGCTAAACACGTGTATGACAACTGGCCGATGGGTGAGTAGCTCCATTTAGATACCTCAGTGATGTGGCGGTTGATAAGGAAGTAGCGGTAGTTACATCCACTAGCTACAAAAACAAATACAGGTCACTCAGATATTGACTTATCCCACTATTATTTCTTAATTTTCTCTCATAGACCTGCTTTTGGGCTCCGTCTAATGGCATCGCACACAGATATAATTGTGTTTATAATATGTGCTTGTTCAGTATATTCAAGACTTTAAAACAAAGTTATCATAAGGAGAGGATTGCTTAAAAATAAGCTGTAACCTTTGACCTCTGCAAAACATTAGCACGTCATGAACGCAGAGTGCAGGTTTGGAGAACAATTTTACCAAGGCATCATTAAATGTAAATTTTGCCAAAGGTGCTCTTCTCGCAGCCTTTAAAATTCTTAAATTTAACAATAAATTTATATTGCTATCAGAAGAATCATGAAATCATTGTCCGTGTTGTAGCCTCGTACCTTGTTCAGGTTGGAGAAATCATGTTCAGAGTTCAGTGTGCAAGTTCCAGTTGTGGAAAGTAAGTAAATGTACTCAAGTAATGTACTACTACAGCTTTGAGGAACTTGTACTTGAGTGTTTCTATTTTCTGCTACTTTATACTTACACTCCACAACATCTCAGGCGAAAATATTGTACTTTTTACTCAACTATATTTATTGAATAGCTGTAGTCAACAAAGAAATGACTGTGATTAGATAGATAAAGCATAGATAAAAATAAAACGTTGATCCTGAGGGGCAAATTCACAAGCGACCCAGCTGAATATAAAGTCATTTAAATGAGCTTCACTTTTACCACTGAAGCATTGGTAGTGCAGGTCTTCAGAAATGAAGGCAACACGTGCACAATGCAAATGTGTGGTTGAACAGAAACCATCTCTGGCTGAAGTGGTTTTGTGTGCCCAGGACTTGAGTAAAAGTACTTAACCAACTGCTGATAGTTGCCCCACAAGATGAATGCAGCTTTAATGTGACAGCAAAAAGTCAGCAGTGTTTTCAGGTCACAGTTTCAGAGTCAGTGGAAAGCCCTAGGAGATGCATAGTCAGATGACACTTTGTTTGGGATGGTGATTACTTAGCAATTAAGTAATAAATAAACAATTATTATATCATTTTATCAAATACATTACATATTATCAACATTCATGTTCATCATATTGATTCAGATGGGAACATTGTGTTCAAAAAATGTAAACATTCTTAAGTATTTAAGACAAATTTCACAGATTTGTCATTTATTTAGATACGTTAACATAAAAACAGAAACAGGTTTATTGACAAGTAGGTTTTCACATACAAGGAGTTTGTCTTTGTGCCCTGGTGCATAGAAAGAAGAGCATAGAAGAGCAGTGCAAATGTTCACAGTATAAAGATAATGTACAATGTGTGAAAAATAATAATGTAATGCATAAAGATGTGCATTAATGTAATGAATCAAGTTAGATGTGGAGAGACTTTTAAAGTCGGGAAGAAAGATACAGTCACATAGTAAAAGTAATAGTAGTGAGTTACTCGTTGAACATCTACTCTTTGATCACAGAATGTCATTATCAGCGTACTATCCAAATCAAATATTCTCTTTTAATATTTATGTATTACTCTTCCGTGGCAGTTTTATCTACTGTATTCAGGTGTACCTTCATGCCAGCCAACAAAAAATATTCCCAACCTTACGTCTGAAGAGTTGAGTTATAAAATTAAAATGTGATTTTAGGTGAGAGATTCTTGCGCTACTAAGATTAGACTAGATTAACTACTAAATGTAAACATTTACCAGATTGTTTAGGTATTCTTGCTGGGACATTTTGTATCTTCCCACATTCAGCATATAGGTAATATAGACCCATATTGTGGTATTTTGTAATAAATCACATTATTGCATAAGCACAGCTGCAGTGCGTTCGCATGAACAGTAATTGCTAACAATTTAGCGGCAAATGCACTTGGAAACCAGACAATCTGACTTATGTTGACCTTATGTTCTATATCACAAAGATAACGGCAGCTGAGGGGCTATACTGTGTATACAGAGAGCTGCGATCACATTGAAACCCACTGCTAATTACTTGCATGTAGGTCTGTATAGCAGTGTGGGAATGTGCCAATCTTTGGTGTAAGATAATTAGGGTGCACTCCTCAGTTCAGCCTGATTTTCATTGCATATGTGGAATCTCGCAGCACTGCCACCTCCTCTGTGTAACACACCTACTCCCTAACTGCTGCTACACCAGTGTTAGAATTCATTTGATACTACCGACCTTATGCCACCTTCAGATCTAAACAGACTGTAGCCTTTTCCCACGGTGTTGTGACTGTAGCCCAATTTAAGAGAAGCCCACAGTGCATGAAAAACTATACATTATACTGATTCTCCTTGACAAGAGGAGTTTTTCTTTCAGTCCTGTCAGTTTTGGAAGCGCCCTGTGTTCCTCCCAGACAACAGATCTGAACCCTGTGAGACCCAGAGCAGGCATTCACTCAGCACCAACACCCTTCCCTTAGCTGGAGACAAACATCTGGTGGCCAGACTCTGCTGCCGTGCAACTCCCCCCGCTGTTTTCTCTCTTATTTAATGCCTTCACTTTTTGTCTTTAGCTCTTCCCAAGCCACACCTCGTGTTCTTTTGCTTTGAGTCGTTCTCACATTCTGTAACGCATCCCACAAAACCCACATATTATACATTCTGCACATAATGATCTGAAATAAAGGCCCTAAATGCCCTAAAATATCTTCAGTGCGGTTGCTGGTGGTCTTTTTGTTTCACCATGCAATGACTGATTTCTTTTCACTGCACTATATACAGTAAATTATATTGACGTAGACCAGGGCTAAAGCAGTAGTTTAAAATTCAAAGCTTTTCATTGTATGAGCTCTGCTGAACTCAGTCAGAGCCCCTTAACAATTAAATTCCTTTTGTCCTTTTCTAAATTGCTCATCTAGAGTCTAGGGACTTTCATTAGCAATGTTCAATCATGAACTGATTTTGTTTAGGGTGGCTTTTAAAGCTAATTCAATTTCAGGTAGCAATAAAAAAGTTGTGAAATGTCATTATTGAACCTGCATGTTCTCAGTTTAAAGATTATACAATGATGATGATGATCATTTTAATGGAAAATAGGTGAAATGATGAGAAAATTTAGACAAAATGTTGATTTTGCTTAAACCATCTATCTGTTTCTCCCCTTTTTTTAAATACAGACTGGGAGGAAGAGCAGGTCAGCAGTCCTAACATCCTGAGGTTGATCTACCAGGGCCGTTTTCTACACGGCAACGTAACACTAGGAGGTGAGAAAACACAGAAAGTGCACCCCCCCTCCACCACCAAAAAAACACCCCTTATGTGCTCATAGACATGCACACAAAATCACAGCAGTGTGTTGCTGGAAAGTTCTTTGCTGTTCTCATCCCTTTCCTGAGCCGCAGAACAGAGGTACCTCAGTGCTCTGGACAAGCCTGCTTTGATGGAGAGAGGGAGGAGAGAGGAAATACAGAAAAAGAGGGGAAAGAGACTGGTCAGGAAAGGGGCAAGACTGGCGTTAGAGTAGACCTCAAGCAGCACAATGAGGAGACAGAAAGGGAGGGGGGGGCCGGTGAAAGTGCCATAAGTGAAGAGAAATAGACGAGGTCTTCTTTTGAGGCTGCCCACTTCACTTCTCTCTGGCTTTTAGGCTTTCGAGTCTACTTAACCCAATTTTGATTTGACTGGTGTTTTGTTTGGTTTTAATGGGGTTAAGGCCGCCCCCGACCCTTTTACACTCATCTCATTACTGCCATGTATCTGATAATTCCCTTATCGTTGGTTTAACATGTTTGCACGCTGACACAGAATCCTCTTAAAGTTGAGCCAAAACTCCTAGTGGTTTTGAAATGCTAACAGACGCCACACACGTGTGAAAGCACACACCACATGGTTGATAAGCAGTTTCTTCGCTGTAAAGGAGTTACAAGTATTGCAGCTAAGATATTAACTGTAATTTAGTGTGTGATTGTTAGTGTTTTTAAAATGTAGCAGCTTTTTTGTAGGTTTTGTTCCATGAAATATCACAGTATGGCTAGTGCTACTTGTTATATCACAAAGCATACAGTAGTTAGAGTAGACTGCATTTTTCTGCATTTTCCCGACAGCCATTGATTTCCAATAATTGGAAGCTTCAGATAGGTAATCACTGATGTTCAAAGGAACTACTGTGTTCCAATTTTATTCATTACACCATCATTACATCAAGCTCTTCCCGTGTGTAAAATTTGAGTTTCTGCTGAAACATTGATAACATGTAATACCAATTTGCTTTTCTTTTCTCTCAAGAGTTTGCTGAGGGATTTTATTAGGGAATTGAGCACTTGACGCATTTTTCATGTGGGGGGAAATGGTTCAAGCTACTCTGGGAAGAAAAAAGAAACATTTGACTTTCATGAACAGCCAGTCACACTGTCTGAAATAACCAAAGGTTTAAAGATTTTCAGGCCCTTTTCTTACCTGCAAGGGATTATTAATCTGGAACAAAATTACCCAATAGTCATATTTTTTGACATCTTCAGCCATAGGTTATTATGTCATGAAATAGTGTTTGTATTTTTTCTCTCTTTTATAGCTTTTGTAGCTACTTGTTCCAGCGTAGCTTAATTTGTATTTGCAAGTTTAAGATTATACTGATGGTGAATAACTTTGTACATACAGAGATACTGTAGCTCAGTGAATAACCTTTACATCCTCTATGTCTTTCTCTCACTAGCTCTCAAACTGCCCTTGGGGAAGACCACAGTGATGCATTTAGTTGCCAGAGAGACTTTGCCTGAGCCAAATTCCCAAGGTAACCAGCTCTCCGTCTCCCTTCTTTCCTTTCAGTGGGCCTTTCACACGCTGAACAACTTTAAACGTTCTGCTCCCAGCCATTATTTATCTCTACACATCGCTTCTGTGTTAGGAATAGCCATTGGTGCAAGTAATTGGCTCCCTTAACTGTATCCCCAAGATACAGCAAATTGTGTAGAATATAGAGCTAATATCAATCACATTAGGTGACAGGTCTCCTTTTTGTGACTCTGTAGTAGAAGGTGATTGTATGTAGAGATAGGGTAGTCAAACATTTAGATACAATCACCTTCTAAGTTTAATGATGACTGGAGAGAGTGACAGACTGACCACAGCAGGGCAGCAGGAACAGCAGGATGGTAGTCAGGGCTCACTAGCCATGTTATCTTTCACTCTCTCTGTCTGCAATGGAATCACAGAGAGTCCGCT